TTCCATTTCATTGTTTATCACTTCTGGTCTTTCTAAATTCATGCTTTATACATTCCACGTTCCAATTATTAATGGATATTTGCAGCTGTTTCTCCTCATTTTGCAAATGAAGGTCTGGAAAACTTTTTTCCATCCATAGCATTAAGGTAATCTCTTCTTTGACTAGGCATCTCTTCCCCAGTTGTATTTAGAGTGCGTTCTAACCTGAGGGACTCATCTTCTGGCACTATACCCTACAGTGTTCTGCTGCTATTCGTAAAGTTATCAAAAGTTGTCCACCTCTCTTTATTCCTAGTCTGTCTTAGTCTGTAAGCTCCGCTAAAGCCTGTCCACCAAGGGTGACCCTGCTTATATTTGAAATACTGGTGACATAACCTTCATCATCACAGCAACACACAAGCCACCACAGTAATGACAAACTGACAGATGAATGGTGGGAAATTGCCTACATTCATTCTTGTTTCTTTTTCCAGAATAAAAGTATGCCGATAACTTTTTGCATTCCTTGAATGATCAAATATTCAAGCAATTTTATAGTTTCTAAGGATCTTACTTTACAGATTAAGAAAGAAATGGAGATTGAGAATGAAGGGATGATTTTATAAGGAGTATTCTGGTATGGCACTGTAGAGACTTCAAACCACAAATCCAGCAGCTCAACCCACCAGCTGCTCCTTGGAAATCTTATACAGGCTCACTATGAGTCAGAACCAACTCGACAGCATTTAATAACAATAACAACAACAAAATAAAACAAAGGACTCTGGTTAGAGATGGAGGCAGAGATGAGGACGTGACTCCATGGCACCTAACAACAACAACAACCTGGCCTCACTAGGAAAGTCCAGGACTGGATTTTCATAGTCAACTACGACACAGGAGGGGTAAACTGCTAGTAAATCCATCATCTATCTGGTCTAGTCTCTACTTTCAAAAGTATTAGCTACTATAATTTGTCTGCATTTTTCCAAAAATGATTTTGGGAATTGGTGGCTGAGTTAAAAAAGTCAAGCTTAAGAATTTTTGATGCTCTGTTCAGTGACTAAAAATAAGGATCCCAGTAATTTTATTTTATTTTAATTTTTTGTATAATTTGATAATAGGGAATGCAAAGAGACACTCAGAAGACTAGAAAATCATAAATACTGAATTGGAAACCTGAAATGGATTATGTGTAAACCAACAAATCTCTAGTAAATTTTCACAAAAAGTAATCAAAATCACAATTTTAATCCTATAGAAAATGAGGCAAACGTTCCATGCCTCAGACATTCCAATGACCGTGATGGCACAGGACATGGAGATGTTTCCTTCTGTTACACATAATGTGGACATGAGTTGAAGCAAACTTGACAGCAATTACTAACAACACACACACACACACACACAAACCCACTGCTGTTGAGTCAGTTCTGATTCTTAGTGGCCATATAGTACAGAACAGAACTGCCCCATAAGATTTCTAAAACTGTAAATCTTTATGGAAGCAGATTGCCACATCTTTCTCCCATGGAGAAGCTGGATAAAGCACTGACCTTTGGTTTAACAAGTGAGCGCTTAACCACTGTGCCAGTTGTTGTTGTTATAAAGTGCCAACGAATCAGTTCTGATCCATACCACCCTGTATAGCGTTTCCGAGGAGTGGCTGGTGAGTTTGAACCACCAACCTTGTGGTTCAAACCAACTTTGTAGTTGTTGTTGTTAGGTGCCATCGAGTAAGTACCGACTCAGCCACCTTATGCATAGCAGAATGAATCACTGCCCGATCCTGGGCCAGCCTCACTACTGTTGCCACACTTGAGTCCATTGATGCTACCACTTGGCCAATCCATCTCATTGGGGGTCTGCCTCTTTTTCTCTGACCCTCCACCTTACCAAACATGATATCCTTCTTCAGCAACTGCTCCCTCCTGACAATGTGTCCAAAGTATGAGAGACGAAGCTAGGCCATCTTGGCCTCCAAGGAGCGCTCTGGCTGCACTTCTTCCAAAACGGATCTATTGGTTCTTTTGGCAGCCCATGGCACTTTCAATATTCTCCTCCAACACCATAACTCAAAAGCATCAATTCTTCTATGGTCTTCCTTATTCACTGTCCAGCTTTCTCATGCATATGAGGTTACTGAAAATATCATGGCTTGGGTCAGGCACACCTTAGTCCTCAAGCTAACATTTTTGCTCTTCAACACTAAAAAGGTCTTGTGCAGCACATTTGCCTAATGCAGTACGTCTTTTGATTTCTTGACTGCTGCTTCCGTGAGTGTTGATAGTTGATCCAAGAAGAATGAAGTCCTTGACAACTTCAATCTTTTCTCTGTTGATAAGAATGTTGTTTATTGGTCCAGTGGTGAGGATTTTTTGTTTTCTTGACATTGAGATGTATTCCATACCGAAGGCTGTGCTCTTTGATCTTCATCAGTAAATGTTTTAAGTCCTCTTCACTTTCAGCAAGCAAGGTTGTATCATTTGCATATCGCAGGTTGTTACTGAGTCTTCCTCCAATCCTGATGCCACGATTTTCTTTATAGAACCCAGTTTCTCAGATTATTTGCTCAGCATACAGGTTGAATGTTGTTGTTGATGTTGATGTGTGCCGTGGAGTCAGTTCCGACTCATAGCGACCCTGTACAGGGTTTCCGAGGCAGTAAATCTTTACGGGAGCAGAAAGCCTCATCTTTCTCCCTCAGAACAGCTGGTAGTTTTGAACTGCTGACCTTGCGGTTCACAGTCCGATTCGTAACCACTACGCTACCAGAGCTCCTTACAGGTTGAATAAGTATGGTGAAAGAATACAACCTTATTGCACACCTTTCTTAATTTTAAAACATTCAGTGAACCAATGTTCTGTTTGAACAACTGTTTCTTGGTCCAGGTACAGATTCCTCATGAGCCAGGTATAGCCTTATAATTCTTCTCATTAAACTTTTATACAGGCAATACCAGCTAATGGCAATTGGTACACAAGACAAAAGCAAATTTCCACTCCTGGCAGCAGGATTCTAAGACAAAACTATAATAAATGATAGACTAGAACTCTAGTAACAGTTTATCTTTGATTAGTGAGCTATCAGCTTTTGTCGAATTTTTGTCATTTTTTTTAATTAGCTAATTAGTAATAGTAAAGAATTTGAAGGCATTTGACTTGGATCATAAGAAATTATGTTGTTAGTCCCATTGAGTTTGTTACAACTCATAGCAACTTTATTTAGGGTTTTCAAGCTATAAATCTTTATGGGAACAGAAAGCCTGTTTTCTCTTGCAGAGCAGCTAATGGGTTTGAAGTTTCAACATTGCAGTTAGTAATCCAGGGCTTATCCTATAGTGCCACCAGTGCTTCTTAATAAATGATAAATAATATAATTAAGACTGGGAAGTTCAGAGCATTTAATTGTGCTCATGTGAAACCTGTACATGGACCAAGAAAGATTCAACAAGAGCATATTGTTTGTGGTAAAGTGTATCCTTTCACCTTACCTAGTCAATATGTATGCTGTACAAATAATACAAGAAGTCTGACTATATGGAAAAGAGGAAGACATGAGAATCTGAGGAAGACTCATTAACAACCTGTAATATACAGATGACACAATTTTGCTTGACTTCAAATGCTGATGAAATTCAAAGACATCAATATGGATTATACCTGAACATGAGCAAAATGAAAATCCCTACAACTCAACCAATAAACAACATCATGATGAATTGAAGAAAAAATTAAAGTTGTCAACAACTTCATTCTACTTGGATCAACAATCAACACCAATAGAAGTGGCAACCAAGAATTCAAACCACATATTACATTGGACAAATCTGCTGCAAAGGACCTCTTGAAAGTTCTAAAATACAAAGATGGAAGTTTGATGACTAAGTACCTAACCTAAGTCATGGTATTTTCAGTTTCCCCAGATGCATATGAAAGCGGAATAATGAAAAGGGAAGACAGATGAAAAATTAAGTGTCGTCAAGTCAATTCCAACTCATAGCTACCCTGTTTAGGGTTTTCAAGGAATGGCTGATGGATTTGAACCACCAATCTTGTGACTAGCAGTCCATTGTTTATTCTACAGTGTCACACCAGTACTCCAATCTGATTTATAAGATTGTGTATTCCAGCAATGAGATGGATTGGCACAGTGGCAATAGTAGTAATGGGCTCAAACATAGAAAGAACTGTGAGGTTAGTACAGGATAAGGCAATGTTTCATTCTGTTGTGTGTAAGGTTACTATGAGTCAGTACCAACTCTATGGCTCCTGACAACAGCAATGAATATTCCAGGAAATATTTTAATTTTGGTACAAAGCAACTGATGATCTCTGATAGGATTTCCTAGAGATATAATCACTATCAGATCAGAGAAACTTTTAAGTTTTGTTTGATTTAAATCATATACCAATATAAGCAAGCTGGATCAGTGCTTTGAAATCAATTAAAGGCTTCTGTTCTGTTGTTGGTATGTATGATGAGTATATTTTTAAGGATTGTCCCACTTTGATGATTCCTTTTTAGAGTAATAATTCAGCTGTCTTATTTTTCATTTTTTAGTAATCATTTCCATTTAAAATTTTTATCAAGTACGTTCTTCTAACTACCAAGAATTCTCTAATGAAAACTACAGGAGATAATATAGAAATGTAGCCTGACATATTTAAAGTCTGGAATCTTCATCTGGAATGATGTTTACTTTTATTATTATGGAGGCAACCAAGCCCATGAAGAGATGTATATGGCAAAATAGTTTTCATCCTTTGCCAGTCTTTCCACTTCTAAAAAAATATTTTTTTTACTTTATGTAAAATAATATATATTTAATTGTAATTTTTGACCAAGATTAATTCATTTTTAAATAATAATAAAATTGTGTGTATTTGTAAGTTTTCATTTTGAATCTATTTTAAGATCTTTTTGTTTTTCTTTTCACAAAACCAGAGAATATAAATGAATGGAATGCTATCTTAAGCCAAAAAATCAGTTGTAACCTTTATTATAAAATACTATTCAAATGAAGAAAGATAAAAAGAAAACCAAAATCCCAACTGATGTTTACCCAATTCAGACATTGGTGAACATGTCACGTAATCCAAGTCGACCTTCGTCATCAGAAGTAAGACAATCTTTTTATACTAAAATATAAGAAAAATGGCTTAATATTATTTTGAAAAAGTTTTTAGAAAGCAATAATATGAATTATATAAAGTGTTGGTTATTAACATCCCACAATTTCAGTTTCTTGTGTTTCACTATTTGATCACACTTGTGTATCTAGCTTACTTCTTCTAGGATCCCAGTTATACTGGAAACTCCAGTGCATTGATGCTATTACCTGTTTTACTACTCTTCACTTTGTTCCTTAGTTAGTTAGTGCTGCTGCAACAGAAATACCACAAATTAATGGGTTTAACAAACAAATGTATTTCTTTGAAATTTATGAAGCTTGAAGGCTAAATTCAGGATGCCAACTCTAGAGGAAGACTTTCTTGAGTGTGTAGGCTCTGGAGTAGGGTCTTTGTCTCCTTTTAATTTCTGTGGACCTGGCATGCCTTGGAGACCTTCATGTGTCTTTGCACCAATCTTCCTCTGGGTCTAGGAGATTCTTGGGTAGGGACTCGAGGTTCAAAGGATGCACTCTGCTCCTGGTGCTTCTTTCTTAGTGGTAGATAGGACCTTCCCTTTCTGTTTCCTTTTCTCTTATAAGATAAAAGATGATGCAGGCCACACCCCAGAAAAACTCCCCTTAATCAGATCAGATCTGTGACCTGAGTAAGAGTATTGCATCCCACTTTAATCCCCTTTCAACTGATTGGCTGGTCATCTCGTATCATATTGCTGTTGCTGTTAAGTGCTGTCGAGTCGGTTCCGACCCATAGCAACCTTGCATAGGGTTTCTGAGGAGCAGCTATTGAACTTGAACCGCTGACCTTGCAGTTCAGATGGCTTTGCAGTCTGGCGCATTAGCCCACAGCGCACACCAGGATATTAGGGGGATGCTTACATCATTACATAGCTGCCAAACAACTGAGAATCATGGCTCAGCCAAGTTGACATTATTTTGTGAGGGACACAATTCAATCCATAACACATTGTAGTATTCTTCATGTTGTTGTATAAAGTGCCATCGAGTTGGTTCAGCCTCATAACAACCTTATATAGGGTTTCCAAGGAGCGGCTGGTGAGCTTGAATCACTGACTTTGAGGTACAAGCCAACTTTGCAGTCCAGTGCATTAACCCACAGCTCCACAAATGTTCTTCATACCTGACTTAAATTCCTTAGTTTAATCTTAATCTCTTCCTTGCACATACTTTTGTCTCCTTGACCTTTTCTCTTCATTGTACTGCTTGGGAAACAACCTGGCAAATCACACTTTCCAACTACTTTGCACATATATCTGAGTAGTTTAACATGGATTAGAACAATATACTAGCATAAAGTCTATTATTCTCTCTTTAAATTAATGATCATGAATTACAACCCTGGCAAATCACATTTTTCTACCTACTTTGCACGTATATCTAAGCAGTTGAACATGGATTAGGTCATGACAATGAATTTAAATTCTTGACAGTGAATTTCAAGTGGAACCTGGTAGAAAATTATAAGGACAATAATAAGTCAGTCTTTATACACCAACTGTATCAAGTGGAAATAATCAGAATCCCATTATTCTGTTCCCAACTATGAGTATATAGCAAATCCCCACTTTCTACTTCTATGTTTAGTTCTGACACAAGCCACCTACGTGGCACCTCTCTTCCTGACTTTAGCCACTAAGACTAGGTCAGATCTCACAAAAGGATCAGTCCTTGACATCGCTACTTGGATGACCAATAGATACTAAATACCTCACATGTCTGGAACTGACATATGAACCTTTCTTCCCCAAACCTGTACTGCCCATGGCCTTTACTATCTCAGTTGTAGAAACTCTCTTCTTTCAGTATTAGAGGCCAAAAACCTTGGAGTCATCCTTGACTCTTCTCTCCCAAACTCCATTTCCAATAAATACAAAATGTGACTACTTATAACCATCATCTCACACATTAATGATTCCAAAAGCTTTATAGCCCATTTCCCTTTCTTGCTCCGTATAGTTTGTTCTGGCTATTATCCCTGTAACCCAAGTGATTACAGTTAGAATGATTTAGAAGTAGAGCAGTATATATGTCCTAATGTGATACAAATATCAAACATCTTTAAGTCAAAACATGAGGCAATTTTTGCTGTCATTTTCTTGTGCCTAGTTTAATGATCTAAGTATTCTTCTAAATAGAAAGATTCTGGTAGAGTAGTGGTTATGAATCGGGCTGCTAATCTCATGGTCAGCAGTTTGAAACTACCAGCTGTTCCGTGGGAGAAAGATGAAGCTTTCTGCTCTCGTAAAGATTTACAGCCTCGGAAACCCTGTACAGGGTCACTATGAGTCAGAACCGACTCCACAGCATATATAACAACAACAACCATCAAGATCATAGCAAAACTTAAGTAGAAAGGAAGCACAAAATATGTAAACACAGAAGCTTACAGAAATATATAAAAACAACCATTTCTTTCTCTATGAATGTTCAGGAATAGTTTCTTTATGGAATTCTTGGAAATAAAAACCTCCCCTCCCAAATGTTTGCAGGTGATTAGAGTTGGTAAGCATCACAGTTAGTATATTGTTGTTGTTGTTAAGTGCTGTTGAGTCAGTTCCGACTCATAGCAACACTGTATAGGGTTTCCGAGGAGCTGCTGGTGAGCTTGAACTGCCAACCTTGCGATTCAAAGACTTTGCAGTCTGGCGTATTAACCTAGCGCCACACCAGGACTCCACAGTAAGTATATACAGGATAAAAGTTCTATGAGACCACTCTACTAGCTCTGAGCAAATGGGGGAGGAGAAAGAAAACTGGTGATAAGAAAACTGATCTTGGCATTTTAGTATTTTTAATGCAAGCCACAGTAAGACCATAAGTCAAAGATGTTGTGAGGGTAACTTAGGAATAAATAGATGACTTTTTTTTTTTTCAAGGAAAAATCAGTTCCAATTGCCAAGTAGTCAACTTAAGTTTTTTTATATTTTGCTTTTTTGTTTCTTCAGAAGGATGTATGTATTTCATATTTTTTCAATTATATTTATTAAACTAAAATAGTTGATAGCAACTAATTTTTTTTCACTTGAAAAATGTGTTAACTGACATTCTTCTCAATTTATTCAGTTGGTGGAACTTCATGTTTTTTATGTTCCTGAAGGATCATGGAACTATAAATTAAATACCATTTCAAAAGAAGTTGTTAACAAGTTCATTTCAGCTGGATTTATAAGGCAAGTACTTTATGTTGCCCTAAAAATGTGTCTAGAAGTGAGATCTCTTTTTTTTCTGCAGAGACAAATATTTTTTTGAATAATTTTAAGTTATAAGTAAAAACCTATCTTGTCAATGTAATGGATCCAGTTCCTAACTTAATGAATATTATAACTAAATAACAATATATGATAATTAAATAAAGCAGTGCTATAGAAACAAGGAGCTCTGGTAGCATAGTGGTGCGAATCAAGCTGTGAACCGCATGGTCAGCAGTTTGAAACTGCCAGCTGTTTCGTGGGAGAAAGATGAGGCATTCTGCTCTTGAAAAGATTTACAGCCTCATAAACCCTGTACAGGGTCACTATGAGTCGGAACCGACTCCACGGCACGCAGCCACCAGCCACATAGAAACATATGTCACTTAGCCATAATTCTGCCACTCAGAAAATAATGCATAATCTATATAATACTATGGTTATACAAAGATAATTAAGAGTAAAATCTGAAATTAGAAACCTGTTGAAGAGCTGTGAATAGTGGTTAAAATACAAGCAGTCTAACAAAGGGAACTGCTTTTTTGTTTTGATTTAATTGGGACAGTTGAGAGTAATTGTTGTTGTTGGTGGTGTGCCATGCATTTGGTTCCGACTCATAGTTAGAATACAAAAATGTATATTATGCAGTATCATCATGGTTCAAATAGAGCAATCATGTTTAATCATTTTTTCCATGTACTCCACTGCTGGGCTACCTAGCCACAGGTCTATCAATGGGAAAAGGGCATATATTAGTCTTTAAATATTGCTTTTATGTCAAACAATTGTTTCAAATAATTTTACTAGTGGTGATAGTTCATTTCTGTTCCAATCAGTGATTATATATTATTTTATATGCTTATAAGTATATATAAGTGTATTTACCTTCTTAAGTTACTGATATTGGTGCTGTTTGATATTTTCATCTTGATGTTTTCATTATAACTATGTAATTAATAATGTATTTGTAAATTGAATTTTCTAAGATACTAATATTTTAAGAGTCAGCATATTTGATATAGGTCCATGTTTGTTTTTGCTTTTTTTTTTGGAGGGGGTGGGCAACAGATTGACCAGTCCTTTGGATCAATGCATAACATATGTTCTTTCGTTCTATATTCTAGACATTCTGTGTTCTAGTCCTCATTTCTCCCCATCTGGTGATCTGATTCTTTGACTGACATGTGAAAAATCCTGTCTGCTTGTTTGAAAAGAAAAAAAAAAAAAAAAGAATTTTTTCTTCAAAAAAACAAACACACAAGCAGTTCCCAGATTACAAATGAGATGCATTCCTATAAATGTTTTTAAGCCAAATTTGTAGGTTAAGTCATACAAGGTGCATATGGTACTTACTTATTTATTTACTTTAGTGCAAGACCAGGCTCAGGGCCTTTTCTGTGATTTAAAAGCTGCAAGTACAGCAAGAAAAGGTGGTTGTAATGAAGAATTTGTTGGGAGTGTGAGTTGGTTAGGAGTCTTGGTGTGGCACTGTAGGATAACCACTGGACCGCAAACCACAAGGTCAGCTGTTAAAGTCCATCAGCTGCTCCTTGGAAACCATATACAGGGCTACTATGAGTTGCAACTGACTCTGTGTCACTTAACAATAACAACAACAACATGGGTTGGGTAAGGAGCCCTGGTAGTGAAGTGATTTACAAGCTGGGCTGCTAACCGAAAGGTCAGCAGTTCAAATCTACCAGCAGCTCCATTGGAGAAAGATGAGGTTTTCTGCTCCAATAAAGGTTTATTTACAGCCTCTAAAACCCTACCCTATACAGGGTCACTCAGAGTCAGAACTAACTAGCTGGCAGACCACTGTCACCATCACCACCATGGGTTGGATCAGTCCTTTCCAAGTGAGGGCAAATTTATACAACATTAAAGGACAAGTCAGACATTCAAAACCTGGGGAGAGTTTGTATTCCCAATGACTTTTTAATTGAATTGTTAAAAAAAGATATAAAACAAAGAACATATGTATTTAAGTATCTGTACCTTTATATATTTTTATATATGTGTACATCTATTTTCTTATTCATCACACATGACCCTATATGTTGTTATGTTTCTTGGACTCCTCTACTAATTTTCTTCATCACTTACTTCTACTACACTAGACTCCTCTTTGTTTTGGAACACATCAGATATGGTTCTGCCTCAGGTCCCGTCTTTGCTGTTCCTTTGGTCTGAAATGTTCTTTGTTTTGCTTTGTTTTGGTTTTGCCTTTCCCATATGCTCTCTCACCTCTTCTAGTTATATTTTATTTTATTATCAATATTTTTAGGCATTCTTTGGCAGCCCTTTTCTACTTCCCGTGCTTTCTCTTTATAGTACTGAGAGCTACTTTAAACTATATTTTTAATTTATTTAGTTTGTTAATTTTTTCCTTCCACCATTAGATTGTAAAGCCCATGAGGGCAGAGATTTTAATATGCTTTGTTTGTTGTTATCACTTAAACAATCCTGGCTTATAGTGGGTGCTCAATAAAAAATTTTTTTCAATAAATATTTTTGATTGAATAAATAAACTAGATAATATTTTCATATTCTTACTAGTTGCCATTAGTCAGCTCTAACTCATGGCAACTGTATAGTAGAAGAAAACATTGCACAGTTCTATGCCATCTTCTTGATATATTTGATGCCATTTTTGTAGTTATGTATCAATAACCACACTGAGAGTTTTCCTTGTATTTACAGACCCTCTACTTTACCAAACATGATGTCCTTTGCTAGCAATTGGTCTTTACTGATGACATGTCTGAAGTTGTTGTTGTTGTTAGGTACTGATTCATAGTGACCCTATGCACAACAGAATGAAACACACTGCCCAATCCTGGGCCAACCTCACAATCATTGCTACATTTGAACCCATTGATAATGCCACTGTGCCAATCTATCTCGCTGGGAGTCTTCCTCTTTTTCTCTGACCCTCCACTTTACCAAACATGATATCCTTCTCCAGTGACTGGACCCTCTTGACAATATGTCCAAAGTATTGAGAGACTAAGTCTAGCCATCCTGGTTTCCAAGGAGCACTCTGGCTGTACTTCTTCCAACATGGATCTATTTGTTCTTTTGGTAGTCCATTGTACTTTCAATATTCTCCTCCAACACCATAACTCAAATGCATCAATTATTCTATGGCCTTCCTTATTCACAATCCAACTTTCACATGCATATGAAGTTAAGTGAAAATACCATGGCTTGCGTCAGGTGCATCTTTGTCCTCAAACTGACATCCTTATTCTTTAACACTTTAAAGAGGTCATGTGCAGCAGATATGACCAATGCAATACATCATCTGATTTCCTGACTGCTGCTTCTGTGAGTGTTGATGGTCAATCCAAGAAAAATGAAGTTTTTAACAACTTCAATCTTTTCTCCATTTATTGGTCTAGTAGTGAGGATTTTTTGTTTCCTTTCCATTGAGATGCAACCCATACCAAAGGCTGTGGCCATTGATCTTCATCAATAAATATTTTAAGTCCTCTTCGCTTTCAGCAAGCAAAGTTGTATCATCTGTATATTGCAGATTGTTAATGAGTCTCCCTCCACCACTCATCTGTCAGTTTGTCATACTTTGGTGGCTTGTGACTTGCTGTGATTCTGGAAGCTATACCACTGGCATTTTAAATACCAGCAGGGTCACCTATGGTGGACAGGTTCCAGATGAGCTTCCAGATGAAGACAGACTAGGAAGAAGGAATGACGAACTATTTCTGAATATTTAGTCACTAAAAACCTTATGTCAGCTTGAGGACTAAGGTGCGCCTGACCCAAGCCAGGGTATTTTCAATAACCCCATATGCATGCAAAAGCTGCACAGTGAATAAGGAAGACTGTAGAAGAATTGATGCTTTTGAGTTATGGTGTTGGAGGAGAATATTCAAAGTGCCATGGCTCACAAAAGAACAAACAGATCTGTGTTGGAAGAAGTGTAGCCAGAGTGCTTGGAGGCCAGGATGGCCAAACTTTGTCTCTCATACTTTGGACATATTGTCCAGAGAGACCAGTTGCTGGAGAAGGATATCATGTTTGGTAAGGTGGAGGATCAAAGAATTAGAGGAAGACCCCCAGCGAGATGGATTCAGAAAGTGGCAGCATCAATGGGATCAAGCATGGCAACAACTGTGAGGTTGGTCCAGAACCAGGCAGGCAATGTTTCATTCTGTTGTGCATAGCATTGCTATGAATCTGTACCGACTCGATGGCACCTAACAACAGCAACAGCAAGCCTTCCTCCAATCCTGAGGCCACATTTTTCTTCATATAATCCAGCTTCTCTGTTTAGCATACAGATCGAACAAATATGGTGAACACATTTCCTAATTTTAAACCAGTCGGTGTTCCCTTCCTCTGTTTGAGCAACTGCTTCTTGGTCTATATACAGGTTCCTCATGAGCACAATTAAGTGTTCTGGAATACTCATACTTTGCAATGTTGTTCATAGCTTATCATGATCCACACAATCAAAAGCCTTTGCGTAGTCAATAAAGCACAAGTAAACATCTTTCTGATATTCTCTGCTTTTAGCCATGATCCATCGGACATCAGCAATGATATCCCTCATTCCATGTCCTCTTCTGAAACCAGATTGAACCTCTGGAAGTTCTCTGTCAATGTATGCTTGCAGGGTTTGTCTATTACCTTTAGTAAAACTTTACTCGCATGGGATATCAGTGATATTATACGATGATTTCTACATTCCTTTGGGCCACTTCTCTTTGGAATGGGCACAAATACAGATCTCTTCCAGTCAGTTGGCCAGATAGTTGTTGTCCAAATTTCTTGGCATAGATAAGTGAGTGCCTCCTGTGCCGCTTCACTTTGTTGAAAGATTTCAATTTGTATTCCTTAAATTCCCAGTGCCTTGTTTGTATGCCAATAACTTCAATGCAAATAGACTTCTTCCTTCAGGATCATTGGCTCTTGATCATATGCTACCTCTTAAATAGTTGAACATCAAGCCTTTTCAA